GGCGTCGAACCTCTGGAAGGAGGACGGCGCCTGCCTCGACTGGCTCGGCGCCTTCGCGCCGGGCTCCGTCGTGTACGTCAACTTCGGGAGCATCGCGGTGATGACCCCGGCCCAGCTCTCGGAGTTCGCGTGGGGCCTGGCCAACTCCGGGAGGCCGTTCCTGTGGGTGCTCCGCCCCGACGTCGTGGCGGGGGAGCCGGCGGCGGCCCTCCCGCCGGAGATCGCGGAGGAGACGAGAGGCCGGGGGATGATCTCCGGGTGGTGCCCGCAGGACAGGGTCCTGGCCCACCCGGCGGTCGGGGGGTTCCTGACCCACTCCGGGTGGAACTCGACCCTCGAGAGCATATGCAACGGCGTGCCGATGCTGTGCTGGCCGTTCTTTGCGGAGCAGACGACGAACAGCCGGCTCTCGTGCGCCGAGTGGGGGGTTGGGATGGAGATCGGCGGCGATGTGAGGAGGGAGGTGGTGGAGGGGATGGTGAGGGAGCTGATGGAGGGGGAGAAGGGGAAGGAGATGAAGAGGAGAGCCATGGAATGGAAGAAGCTGGCTCAAGAAGCTGCGACTGTTCCCACGGGCTCATCCGCCATTAATATACAAAAGCTCATCAATCACCACCTCTTATCTCCTCCAAAACAGCTTTAATTCAGAGGGAGTAATATTTTATTTTTTTACTCCAATTTCACTCGTTGCTTGATTCCATTTCTGTTCAATAAAATTTAATTTGCCTCACCACTACGGTAATAAAGTACGATTAATGGAATTTTCTACTCCGTATGTATTATCGGGAGTATACAGAGATATCATTAATGTTTAAGGCAATGGGTTTTTTTTTTTTGTTTTTTTGTATGTGTCAGTCGTCCCAAACTCTTCATACAATGCACATACCTTCGAGCTAGAAAGTAAATTACAATTGCGAATAACCTACAATATTAATGTTTCCTACCTCCTACCTCTTCGATAAACTCTCATCCCAATTCGAATCGAATCTAACCCCACACTCTTCAATTGCAACACCAATTTTGATTGGCTTTCGAGTCAAAATTTTACTTCAAAATCAACCAATTTGGTGTGTAATTGAAAGGAGTGAGGGTGGGTCCGGATCAGGTCAGGATGTGGACGGAAGAAGTAGGAATCGTCAATTTTTGAACGAAACACCCTCATGTCTTCGAGTCATTCCGTAACATTAGTTCCAATATCATGGGAACCTAGGCGGCTGTAAAATGCACCCAATCTGTCTCAAAAGAAGCACATATTTTGACTTGACTCATAATTTAAAAAAGTAAAAGAGTGTGGTTAATTTAAAGTGATGCTGAGGAAATAGAAAGATTGCGAGTCACTCAAAATTTTCCATAAAATGAAAGACGAGATTTTTTAAGGGATAACTTAAAAATGAAATACACGATTAGTTATTACTCTGGTCGATCTATATCCACAAATCATTTGTTTATTGTGATCTTACAATCCACAAAAGTGACTACTTGTTTTTTATTAGACCCAAATCACCCAATACATAATGACTTTCTCTAAATAGCACTTCATGTATTTTTTCTTCCCAATTTAGCACTTTTAGTCATTATTCAAATAAATATTCGCTATCACTGAACATTATAGACATTATTAAGTGTTATTTAGGGAATAAAATAGTTTAAATGTTATTTAGAGAAATGACTTGACTTTTAATGCTATTTAGTGCAAATATTTCTACATATAACTATTGAGTCATACAAGAGGTACACCATTTTTATACCATTGATGCTAACCGTTAGAATTTTATTCATTTTTTAATTTTTTCCCACACTTGAGTGGAGTTGTGTACATTTGGGGTAGACTTTGGTGTACCTCTAGCATTTTTCATAACTATTTTATGTACAAAGATCCACAAAATAATTATGAATTCAAAGATTGGAGTACCAAGTTATATGTTCATGCCTAGTTCACCTAATTCAAGAGATAGGTAGCGAACATAACTAAACACAAAAGATATGTTTTTTAGTGTTATTACTTCGATTACAACGTACTATAACAAGTCAATATATACTTCTTCCTCCATTGAGACTAGAGCTTAGGTGAGCTTTTACATGAATCTTAAAGAGCAGATCCCACCACTAAAACAAAGGAAGAAGCTCAGAGCCGGTGGGCGTTGCGTAATTGGTAAGGCAGAGATGCCAATGTTTGACTTCTGACAAATGTGGTGAGAAGTAACTATGCTAAATATAGGACATCTACAAGTACCAGATGCATGCTCCACTCTTTACCGCCAATTTACGATTAAAGTCTAATTTATTTTCTCTCAGTAACCGTTCAATCAAGTCTAAAAAGACCTTACGGCCAAAGAAACTCTTAGGAAGGAGCTCAGAGGGGAGGAATTAATTGTAACCACTTGTAAGGATACGAATCCAGCTTCTAAGAGCATCCACAGTGGCAACATCTCTTATTGGATGCCCAAGTGTGGGCTCCACAATAAAGATGTCATTCTAGCATTTCTCTCAACATTCCATTCTTTCAATGGTAGCATCTCATTTGGATGCCTATCTATTCCATTAATATAATGGGTCTACTAAAATATACTTCCTCCGTCCTAAAATTAATTTCTCAGTTTGACTTTTGCAGTCAAAGTTTTTTAAACTTTGACCGTATATTACGAAAAAAATACATTGAGTTTTCATACTTTAACCTCGAAATGATTGATGCCTTAATTAAGGGTGTTTCGTCAGCACTTTGCTGGACTTGAAAAATATGAGATCAATTATTCTTCTTTTGTTACAAAAAATCAACTCCTAAGATGTAGTCGTCCTTTCCCAAAAGGGCAAAATTTATTTTTATTATTATGCATATGATCGAAATATTGACTTGTTATAGTAAGTGCTAATCGAAGTAATAACACTAAAAACATATTTTTATAGTAATATCTCCGTCCCGAAATATTCGTCCAGTTTTGACTTTTAGAACTGTTCATCGAAGCACTTTGAATCATCAAATTTTCTCAATGTATAAGCCCAAAAAAAGTCATGTGTGATCTTGTTTGATTTGTCTTAACATATAGATTATTAATATATAATTTCTATAATTTTTTAATATACAAATTACAAGATAAAATCGAGTAAAGAAGTGTATTGGATGGTGCGTAAAAATAAAGTAGACAAATACTCTGGGACAGAGGTAATATGTTGTAATCGAAGTAAGGATTATGCTATGTGTACCCCAAGGTTTGTACCCCAATTTGTACCCCGCAGTTTTGCACCAACACTTTGTGTTGGTGTAAAACTAATTTTTGTTAAACGCACCAACATTCGTGTCCGTGTGAATTTTTATTAACACACCAACACTTGTGTCGGTGTAAACCATCGAAATATTTGTGCAAACCTGTGGTGTACAAATGTGGTATATTTTTTGGTGTAAGTGTAGCATGGTCCTCGAAGTAAATATTGACTTGTTATAATACGTTGTAATGGAAGTTATCTTTTGTGTGTAGCTTCTAAATCTCTAATCAAACTTTACTTTGGACTCAAAATTTGATTCTAAATTCAAAATCAACTTGTTGGGTGCAATTGAAGGAGGTGGGGGGTACGTTTGCGTCAGGGCAGGGTGGAGGTTTTACCGGAAGGGTTAGGAGGGTAGGAATCGCCGTCAATTTTATAAACAGAGCACCAGAGTGTCTCGAGTCATCCCATCACATTGGGACCCAATGTCATGAAAACCCTGCTCATAAATTAAATTGAAAAAGATATGGAATTTTAAAATAAAAATAAAAGAAATCACCCCACATAGCACTCTAACTCACCCTAAATTACGCATTTAGCACTACTTATTGTTTTTAACAAACTTAGCAATTTATGGTGTCAATCCTTTCCTATCATACCCTTTACCCCTTTTTCTGTTTTTTTCATTAAAAATTACGGCATTCAACTCCAATCTATCCTTCCGTTCTCCGGCATGCTATTGAACTCCACGGTCTCTCCTTCCGTTCGCCGGCGATGATGCGTCCTCAGTCCTTCGCCCATGATTCCTTGGCCGATCAGCAGCGACAATCATCAGCAACGACAATCTTTGATGTCGCTAATCATTTTATCTTCTCCTTCAATTTTAAATTTTCATTCTTTCATCCTTTTATTCGGATTTCCCTATATTTTTAGTATTAATTATTGTGTTTTCTTCATATTGAAGATTAGATATATGTTGTGAAATCAATTTTGAAATATTAAGTATTTGTCCCTTTTGAAAAATTAGGTATTTTGAAAGGCATTGTGATTTTGGCAGTGTGAAGATTATGGGTTATGGTGTGGACAGTGTGAAGATTAAATGTTAAAATTTTGTCTTGCATTCTTTTATTCGGATTTCGCTGTATTTTTAGTTTTAATTATTGTGTTTTGTGGCAGTGTAGATATATTGTGACAGTGTATATATTGTGGCAGTGTATTTCTGACATTGAATTTTTGGCAGTGTATATATTGTGGCAGTGTATTTTAGACATTGAATTTTTTGAAGTACATATTGTGGCAGTGTAGAGAATATATATTGTAGTGTATAATTACCACAAAAAATAAAAGGTCACGGCTTAAAATGAATTCTGCTCTTTTTTTGGCAGTGTTGTTTGTGTTAGAGCACTAAATTCAATCTCAAACATATTGTGGCACTGAAAAGCAGAGAATTTCATACTTATTTATAATGTGACAGTGAAGAGTATACATTGCAATATAATTCTAATTTTGGGAGTTTATTTAAGGACAAAAAAGGGAATTCATCCCAAAAACTAATAGCACTGCTATTTCGAGTATTATAAGGCTATTAAAATGCTATTTTCGTATTTCTCCCTTAAAATAACATTAAGGCATCTTTCGTTAGAGTTTTGGAAGATAAATATGATGATCTATGAAATTTGAAATAAGAGCAAGTTAGGGGTACACCAAAATTGTACTCCGTATTTCATTTGTCCCACACCCTAGCATTTTTCTTCAAATGAACATGAGAAATCGCGTCCGTCGAATGCCCCAGATGAGATCGCTCCACAAGAATCTGCAGATTCCGTTCTTCATCTCCGGCGCTACACCGCTTTAGAATGGTCTCGCCGACTCCGCCTCAATCTCCAACTGGCCACTTCCGCCATACAATTGTATCATGTAACGATATGAAACTGCAGATCTGATCAATTTCAATCCAATTCCGTCTTTGGCCAATTCCAATTTCAATCGCATCGACGAATTGAAATTGTTCGTGGCGCCATACGACTGATGTTTTATCTGCCCAATTACGCCATACAACGAACTGAGATTGCAGATCTAGCTGACCATCGCCTCACCCTGATGAGAGGTTAGGTTTTTTTCGCAATATTTATTACTCTTCCGTCCCAAAAAAGAATGTCAAACTCACTATTTCGACATCTCAATCAGTTTTATTTGTTTTGCTCGTTTTGATTGACCATTTGATAAAATAAAATATTCTTGTTGCATCTTGTTTTGTATAATTTTTTTATGTTTTTTTTGAACGAAGTAATTTCTACTTTTTATTTTTCTATCAATTCGTAAATAAAATTATTTTTTTAAAAAGAGGTTATTTTACATCACCCTAAATAGGACTAAAATATAGATAAAGTATTAAAATAAGAGTTTCATGTTTTATTTGTCGAAATAAGAGTTTACATTGTGGTAATGTGACACTGTACATGTGTGTTTTACGTAATGTACATGTAATGTAAATGTATCTCAACTCATATTTTAGGAATAAAAACATAAAACTCTTATTTTAGTATATTTGCAATGTTTTACTTATAGTTCACTTTTTTTTTCCCTTCGAAATGTCATAAACAATTTGACATGAAGCGGGTTAATTTTTATTGTTGGCTCCATAATACCAAATTTGGTATTGTATGGTGGCAAATTAGTGGTCATGCTCATTTTGGATGGCATCGTGTGGTAGTATATTTTTCCCAACTCTATACGTGAAATTCATTTTTTTTCAGATGACAATCATAATATTTGACTTGGTGATCACTGAATCAGTTAGTCTCCCATACCATATTAGAAAATCCAGGCTAATCAATCATAGTTAAAACCAATAGGTAAAAGTTGGGCAAAAAGATATTGCTTTCCCTACATATAAGCCTAATGTTCTGATCCGCGTAAATTTTTTCTTTATTCTATGAGAGCCCCCCCTACTATAAAATGTGAGAAAGCCCTTTCACTCCAATCCCCTCACTAAACCATAAACATCTCTTTGTTCTCTACTCTTCTCTTAAATACTCACTAAGAAAGAGTGTGACAAAGGAAAAATGGGGTCAGTTATAAACAGTGAAGTCCCAAAGCCTCATGCCGTGTGCGTCCCCTACCCTGCCCAAGGGCACATCAACCCAATGCTAAAGCTAGCCAAAATCCTCCACCACAGAGGCTTCCACATAACCTTTGTCCACTCAGAGTTCAACCACCGCCGCCTCCTCCGGTCCCGGGGACCAGACTCCCTCTGCGGCTCGCCGTCCTTCCGGTTCGAGACCATCCCCGACGGTCTTCCGCCGTCCGATGCCGACGCCACCCAAGACATCCCCTCCCTCTGCCGCTCCACCTCCACCGCTTGTTTACTCCCTTTCATGGAACTTCTGGCCAAACTCAACAAAGACTCTGCCGCCGCGTCCTCCGATGCGCCGCCGCCGGTTTCGTGCATAGTCTCCGACGGGGTCATGAGCTTCACGGTGGCCGCCGCCGAGCAGTTGGGCGTCCCGGAAGTCCTGTTTTGGACGCCTAGCGCCTGCGGCTTCTTGGGTTATATGCACTATTCCAAACTCGTCGACTTGGGTTACACCCCCCTTAAAGGTTTCATCACTTATTGAACCAATTCAACAAAAAAACCCAAAGATTTTATGCTCTTACAACTCTGTATACATTTTCCATTGTTTCAGATGAGAATTGTCTTACAAATGGGCATCTAGAGACGAAGCTGGACTGTGTGGAGGGCATGAAAGGCATAAGGCTGAGAGATCTTCCGAGTTTCGTGAGGACCACGGACCCGAACGACTTCATGGTGAGATATTTCCTTGAAGAAACGGAGAGAGCGAAGAAGGCGTCCGCCATTGTCATCAACACCTTCGACGCGTTGGAGCACGAGGCTCTCGCGAGCCTCCGGTCCATGCTTCCGCCCATCTACGATGTGGGCCCCTTACAGCTACTCCTCCGGAACGAGGATGACGACGAGGTCAAAACGCTCGCGTCCAACCTCTGGAAGGAGGACGCGGCGTGTCTGGATTGGTTCGAGACGAAACGACCGAACTCGGTCGTTTACGTCAACTTCGGGAGCATAACGGTGATGACCACGGAGGAGCTGGTCGAGTTCGCCTGGGGATTGGCGAACTCTGACAAGCCGTTCCTGTGGGTCATCAGGCCTGACCTGGTCACAGGGGAGGGAGCCATGCTCCCTCCCGAGTTCGTGGAGGACACGAAAGACAGGGGAATGCTCTCCAGCTGGTGCCCCCAGGAGCAAGTCCTGGCCCACCCGGCGGTCGGCGGGTTCTTGACCCACTCCGGGTGGAACTCGACCCTGGAGAGCATATGCAACGGCGTGCCGATGCTGTGCTGGCCGTTCTTCGCGGACCAGCCGACGAATTGCCGGTTCTCGTGCGTCGAGTGGGGGGTCGGGATGGAGATCGATGGCGACGTGAAGAGGGAGGTGGTGGAGGGGCTGGTGAGGGAGCTGATGGAGGGGGAGAAGGGGGAGGAGATGAAGAGGAGAGCCATGGAATGGAAGAAGCTGGCTCATGAAGCTGCAACTAATGGCTCATCTAATATGAATATAGATAAATTCATCAAGCATCTCAAGAACCCTTGATTAAGGCGATCATATCATAAACGACTTTAAATATAAATACATCTAAATCAGATCAAATCAGATTGGAACTTATTCTAAATCAGATCAAATCAGATTGGAACTTATTCTAATAAGATCGGATCCAATTAGATAAGCTGAAAAGAACATGGCGTAACATGCTCATCTCGTATCGATTTTCAACATTTGTGTTGTATGAAAAAATACAAAATTTGTGCAAAACAATTCTGTATTCACTCAATTACCGTTAGAAAAAAAGATGTCTGGTATTAACATTTGTAATGAACAGATTCGTTCTAAAAATTAAAGTTAGAAATTAAATTTTGACATAATAAGTTAATGCTAGACGAGTATAGTATACCCTTCGTTCTAATTTAAATTGTCTATTTTGGTTCACCATGTCATGTTTGACTAAAGTTATTTTTAAATCATTTTATACGAAAAAATTGTGTAGAATTAAAAAAATATAAATTACATATTTAAAAAACCGCATCAAAAGATTTATAAAATTAGTGGTGAGAAAACTATTTTATTAAACGACTAACAAAAAAAATAAAAAGAAAGTGAATGAAGTTTGATCCCGTAAATAGTAAACATGTACGGAGTAATTTAATTTGTGACGAGGGAGCACTACAGGATATAAATTAAAATCACCAACATTAAAAAAATCACTTGTACTGTATAGATAGAGTAATAAAAATCATTTATTATACATATTTATTTGGTTGGTAATTTAATTAAGTAATTTTTTAACACTTAATAACTTTCAACATTTTTCAATTTCTTTTTGTTTTTTTTAACTCTTTCCAATTTCTTCCAAAATCCAACTTTGAAATTTCAATCAAATTGCACCCCATCTTTTCAAAGGCAAAATGATGATAAACAAGCGAAATTAAAGTGCCCCGCCTTTGAAGACGGAAACCTTTTTTTTTAATCTTAATTTTCAGTTTTCACCATTAAAGTACAATACAAATCACTAACCATGATAGAAAAGATTGTTCCCAAACGAAACCTAAGAATATTATCATTTCTATACTTTTTTTTGCCTATATCCGGATTATAAGACCATAATTAATTAAGTTCTATATCCGGATTATAAGACCATATTTTAGTACTTAATGACACAAATTCCTTTTAATTAAGATATAGATGTGCATATAGTTCGTTTTTAAGATTAACGTTAGTATTTTAGATAAAATTTTAATTATATAATTTGTTTTTGAAAATCATAACTTCTAAAACTATTATTATTCGATAGTATTTTCAAAGTGCTTGTGCTGAACTCTAATGTTGTCACTAAAAAAGCCTTAGAGTACATTGCCTCTCTCCTTCAATGAAACATCATTGATTTTCACTGCTAATGAGATCAAATAATTTCAATTTTCTTTATTTATTCATAATAATCGTTTATTTTTGCAAGGCCAATCCAACTAAACACAACGTATTTTTATTGCATATTTTTATTAATTTTCAAATGGATGCACAATATTGAATATTAGCGGGACAACTTGGAAGTAAAATTATTGGGTAAAATAAAAGACTAGTTTTAGAGTAGGCTTTTTTAAAATTTTCAAAATAGGCTATAAAGTATAAACACTTTCCAAACCAAACATATCACTATATCAGGGAAATTAAAGTCCTATAAGCACTTATTTCAACCAGGGATGGATACGATTTTGGTTCCCAACTGGTACCAGAACTGGAATTGAAACTAGTAGTCTTGGAATTTGGGGTGCAATTGAAAAGGGTAAACGGGGGGGGGGGGAGGGTGGGGTGTTCNGGGACGGGGAAGTGGGGAGGTTTACTGGGGAATTAGAGGATATAAAACGTCAATCTACGAACGGGGTACCATAGCGATTCTGGATCCTCCCATGACAGGGATTCCAATGTCATGATAACCATCCGCTTTTATATATAGTCTTCTATTATTAAATATTATGTCTAATATTTTTGATAAATATCTTTTTATGGATATTTTTTTGCGTTTTGTCATGTTGATTTTAATTTGATGATTATAAGTGTAATTTTACAATTATCATATGTCTTTCTTGCCATAGCCAATGTCAGGGATCCTCATGAATAATGTTGTGTTGTTTGTCAACTAGAGTCGTTGTCTACTACAAACACACTCTACAAATTTCGTCTCTAATAAGAATTTTATTCACAACCATTATTTTATTGTTGTGTTGTCTGTCATTCGCAGTGGTCCGTTCGTGCCACCCAATATCTCTCTTTAAGCTTTGTACTGATTTGTATTCTGTACGAGATGATTTTGAGATGGTATCCATTGTTAGAATGAGTGAAGAACATGATTGTGCCGAACTTTTATATTGGTTCGCAGTTTCTGCTCCCACTTACTCTCTTGTTGTACCAGCCGAGGAGTCACATCGTCGTAACGTCATGTGTGAGTGTCTTGATGTGGTCTATCCGGGTTCCTTAAAATGTCTCCTTGTGAATGTTGAGAAGGGCATTGTGGTCCATGGAGGTCTTGACTCCATGTCGTGTCTTACGGAGCATCTTCAGAAGCTACAAAAAGAGAGTTCATTGGACTGGCTGCGCTCTTCTGAAAGGGTTTTTAAAATGCTATGGCCTGTGTTTCCCGAAGAGCAGGGAAATCCCTTCCCAGGCAGAGGATCATGTCCTATAACCAACAAATTGAATGGTGTAAAACTCGAATACGGAGATCATATTGATAAGATGGTTCATGAATCAAAAATGTTTTCTCCCATCAAGATTGGCCAGTCTTTTGATGTTATCCCCTTTTTGTCTGGTCAGGATGATACGAATTACCTTCATCGTAATGATGGTGAGACTGAGAGAGTTGAAGTTAATGAGCAGATGTTTAGTGGAAAGTACATTCTGGTATGTTGTTTTGGTTTGCCTCTCTTCCGCCAAGAGCGTGAAGCACGTGATGCCCAGGCTATAGCAACTGCATGCTCCGAGCTGTATTCCATGAGAAGCGACTTTGAGATGGTAGTAGTTGCAAAGATGAACCCATTGGCCAACTCCGAGGGGTTTTTCAATCATTTCTTGTCAGGATTCCCCACTTCATGTCTGGTAGTACCATTCCAGCACTCAAAGCACCGTGACTTCATATGCAAATACATTGACCTTGCTGAATGTCATGATATAAGATGTGTAATTTTTGATAAGGGTACAGATAGCAAGAGAAACATTTTATATTATGGGTATCCTTTCCCTTCACTTGCGAGAAATTGCAGGAAGTTAGGGCAAATGACCGTCTGTGGTGGAATGGTGCTCTCCCTCCATCCAAGCTTGAAGATCTTTTAGGGTGCAATCCCTCTGATGTTCTATATAAGACTGTTTCACCAGGCATCCATGAGAAGGTGACTATGTCCGAACTCAGCAGTAAGGTTGTCGGGGTGTACATGTGCATTCAAGGACATTTCATTCCCACTCTAGGGAAGGTCTATCAACAATGCAGAGCTCAAGGGCTAGATTTTGAAATAGTGCTGGTCTGTGTACCCTGGATTGCTGACAGTCTTGACCCGGAGGTTCACATAGCGAATATCGAGAGAGTTTTGCTGGAGTGGAACATATCCTGGTGTTGGCTTCCCCCAGCTTTTGGCTGCCCAAACAAGCTCTTCAACAGCTCTGTAAGCAGTCGGGTCAGGCGATGCATAGACGAGCACTTTAGAGATCAGATCCTCATCGTGGGACCCCATGGTACATTTGTCGAACCTTACGGGGCAGAAATCATGAGCTTGTGTGGGACTGATGCGTATCCGTTCGGTAGGGATGGCTTTTTTGAAATGGAGTTGAAAAAGTTTGAGAAGCTAACGCTGGAGTCGTTGTTGGTATATGGGCCAAGGGATTATGTTTATAGAGACAATAAGAAGGTAGATGTGAGAGAACTCAGGGGCAAGAAAATACTTGTTTACCTTGATATTCTTGTTGACTATAATCTTGCTTTACAAATGAACTATTGGCTTTATGAGATGAAGCAATATTGTGATCCTGATGTTGAAGTGGTCCTCGTACGCCGTCATGGCACTCGCGAAACGGGAGATGAGGCCGATTTAAGACTGTCTGGATTTGCTCCTCTTTGGTATGTGTGCCCCTTTGATCCTCAGCACTCGACATCACTGGAGGAGGAACTATTCATAGGGGGTTTGAAGAACAATGCCGTGGTTGCATTTGGAACAGACGGCCGCGTTTCTTCACTGGGAGCACTAGGCCGTCTGGTCATGTTTGGAGCCAAAGGGGTTCGGTTTGATAGATCTGATCTACGCCAAGATGTCTTCGAGCATCTGGAACTCCAAGGAAGGATGATGTTTGCTGGGCCAGGTCATTTGGATATATGTACGTATCTTCCAATCTGCTTTGTTTAACTTGCACTATTTATGTGTAGTACTAATTTCCAACCTTTTCTAAAGTATGATTTGAATATACCATGCCAAGGATAGTTACTTGTTTGAATGGGCATGGGGGTGGGGGTGTTTGGTTTCATCATCATCATCATCTTCCTCTTTGATTCCTTGTTTATTGAGAATGCATCTGCACTATGTTTGGTTCAAAAAATTTGGAAGGAAAAAAAAAGAAAAGAAAAATGATTTTCTCTCATTTTTCTTGCCAAAATGGGATGAATTTGGCTTTTCCTCCACTTAGTACATTTGCTTTCTCGTCTTCTTTTCCTCTCCAACCAAATAAGAAAAATTGTTTTCTTCTTCATTTTCTTTTCTTTTCCCTTTCAAATTCTTTGAACCAAAGATAATGTTGATTTCTTAGTTCATACAATTAATTTCCTATAATGTTGTGTTCAATCGTTAATTTCTTCAAATCTTGTGTTCGTTCATTAACACGTTCAATTGTTTGCCTTTTCCTAAGTCTCATTGGAAAGCAGTGGTATGAACCATATTCAAGATCTTCAAAAAAAAAAAACTTAAGCCTGATATTTCCTTAGTTTTTTCTTCTAAGTCTAGTCAGCTACGGTTCTAAATCATCTTCTCAGGCTTCTAATATTGTTACGGAGTATACATCATACATGCCATTTTTTATAATCTTGTTATAATTATACATTTGTAGGATGGGAAGAATGGTGGAATTTCGACCCATTTTAGCGGGTCATTTTGGATTCGTTAAACAATTTGTTTGTTCAAAACTCAGTGTTTTTTTATTCGATTTCGGATAAAAAATAGGTCAGGTCATTTTTTGACAAGTTTGGTTAAAACTAAACTCAAAGATGTGTTTTGAGAGAACTATTTTCACCAGTTTTTACTTAAATTAGACTAATTTAGGATCTTGACCTAATCTATTTAAAATCAATAATTTATTTGTTTATATAGTCAAATATCAAATTTTTCTAGAATTCAAATGTCACTTGATTAGTATTGTACTTCCTAGTCCTATCATTTTGTGGTAAGTACTTTCGAGTCGTATTGTTTTTTTGAAATAAACTCTGGAAGCATTATAAAATATTTGAAAACTAGCTCCGGATGGATTTTTTCGTCCACCCCTGTCATGCCCGCTTGCTCTATTATCTCATAGTGCACTACATTCATAATATTCTCTATTTTTTATTTTTATTTTTTGAAATATTTAGCCGCAAAACATAAATTATAAATTCTTTAATATTTCTTTCTTAAACACTCACGATGTAATCAAGTGGATTGTTTTCTTCATTACAATCTAATATCTTCACCCCTTGGCAATTGGTTACACGTGAAACAACCATATATAGTTGACTCTTGGTATTTTCCAATGCAAACAATAGTTCGAAATGATGTAAAAAATGTGAGCTCACAATGTGCTGTGCCGAGTTAAGCATCACAATGTGAGCTCATAACGTACAGCCAGTTCTACGGTGTTCCCGTTTATTCGCAACAAGTACTCATTTACGCACAAATGAATACTCGTTTTCGAGTAAAATAAATACCCATTTTCGAGTAACTATAGAATTGTGATATGCTCAAAAATGAGTATTCAATTATTCGAGAATAAGTATTTTATTACTCGAAAATGAATATTCAGTTACTTAAAAATAAATATTCATGTCGGTCTACGAAAAATACCGTACTTCCAGATGTATGGTGTAGGAACTCAATTTAGAAAGTTTTTTTAGGCGCTATGACTTTTCTTTTTCTTTTTGGCCCGTGTGTTATGGCAAAATTTTCCATGTGGATTAAATTAATGGTTATCTGTAGTTTTAATCTTTGAGAAAAAAATGGCGTAATCCACACGTAGCAAGCTGATCTCTATATACTTCGCGCCAATGAATTTCATCCATAAAATAATACTCCCTCCGTCCATGTAAGATCTTCCCATTACGCGTTACCGGTTTGACCGACTTTATTTTCAATTCAATTTAATTCATTATAGGAGTAAAATTTTAAAATAAAATTTATATAGTAATAAACTACATGAAAAGTTTTACAAAACTAGAGGTGACAAGACTATATTATTTTATGAAATGACTAGTAAAAATGAGCAAACAAAGTAATTAAAGTTTGACCCTGTGAATAGTGTCTGGAAAGATCTATGGTGGACAGAGGGAGTATTTCATTTAAATTTCTTTTTCATGGAGTTCAAAAACAATATTTAAAATATAAATGTCAATGAAATTTGATTAGAAGCGTAAAAGATTTAAAATATTTAAATCTTTTAAATTTCCACCTTTATTAAAATATTTAAAATATAAATGGGTCACACAAATTTGATTCTGTTGCCCACCTTTATTAAATTTCCAGACCTTTATTAATTGATTTAAATTTTGATAATTGTCTTTTTTTAAAGCGTATTTGATAAAATAATATAATCATGTTATATTAATTTAAATTTTATATATATATATATATATATATATATATATATATATAAAAGACAAGTTTAAATGAAATGTATTAAAAAGTAAAAATAATGGGACTGAAAGTGTATAAATAAGTATCGATTGTTACCCAGTTGGGTGAGAACTGAGAACCAACTTGGAAGAAGAAAAATGAGAGAAGATTACACAGCTGAAAGAAAAGAAATACAGCACTTTGTATTAAAAACAATTAACTTGGAAAAAAGCCAATGAACTCGTAAACATGGATGGATTGCTCTCCCAAACAAGTAGTATAGTTGGCAAATAGGTAGGCTAGCCTCATGACTTCAGGCTCACGGCTCATGAGGGGACCTGGAGTTAAACAAGTTCGGGTACGAGAAGTACGACTCGTCGTCCATGGAAGCCAATCTCTGAGGTTGATGATGACCATCGACACGCACCTGCCCAGAATTATGGCCAAGTTCATCACGGCTCCCGTGCGGGCTGCTGGAATCATAGGAAGCAGCTTCAGTGTTGCGAACTGCGCTGCTTTCACCATCACTCTTTTTCTTTGAGAACTCGCTAATCCTGAGCTGCGCGAGGCTAGCCACCGACCGAGCTGCTGCAGCGGCACGCTCGGCTGTTTCAGCTGCCGCCTGAGCTGCAGCTATCACATCGTTTAAATCTATATTGGAGGCTTCGCTTTGTTTTGCTGAAGATGATGGGGGAGACATGAATGTCTTCTCTTCCTTTAGAATGGGTGTTAAATCTTCATTATAAGATGATTCAATCCCCTTGGCAGCAGACCTCTCTGGTGTTAAAGCTTCTTCGCACTCCTTCATGTGTGGTGATGAATATTGTTCGGCATTGTGGTCAAGATCAGATAATGCAGAGGCAGGAAAAGGAAGCATTTCTGGGGTTGAGACTGACGCCGTGTTTGGCTGCTGCCTAGGGACCTCTGGTAAATCTAATATGTCATCCTCGTCATCCTCAGAATCGGACCGGTTATCCACGAATCCTGAAGCATATTGCGCCGATTCATCACTGTGTTTCTCCTCTGGAAGAGGCAGCTTAGATCCGCTCACAAATTGTGTTGGTCCATGCTACAAAAGTCATGCACATTCCAAGTTATGGGCTTACAAAAATATCAATGATCGAAAGTGGTTTAAAACTGAATTCATGACCCCTAACTACATACTCCATAAGTTTGAAAAACTGGCACTACATATCTTTATGCTGGCAATTAGAAAGTTAAGTAATAGAATGCCAAAAAATTTAGTCCCGAAACCATTGAAAAAGGGAACATTCACGCGTAATTGGTGCTTATGTGACAATTTCAATAGAAATTGGAAATGACTTTTTTTAGAACATAAAAATACGGACATTTAGCCAATTGAAAAACATCTATTGCATTTTTTCAAGTTGATAAATTAAATTGTCACATAAATGTTAATCCACTACATCGCTTAATTTGATCTGAACTTTTGGGAGAATTTTCATGTATGGTGACTTAGGAACTAAAATCTCACTATTTATGCCTAAAGTGCCAAAACATATTCCAACGGGACTAATTGTTTCAACCTCTTATGTTTAAGTGATCAATATGCATTTTAACAAAAGGTTAGTGGTAAAATGCATGGAGTGGGTTAGTAACATACAAGCAAGTCTTCATGTGGCTTCAACAATTCGGATTCGCTAGCACTTGGATCCCAGTCTAGTTCATGTTCCTCGGCAATTTCCTTCAGGACTTTCAGTTTCACTTCAGGAGCAGGAGCACGAATCGATAGCAACTCTATCAACTGCAGGTGTAAAAAAGAGACCAGAACTCCACAAGTATTAAATGATTCATCTTTATCATCTAGATCAGTTAGGTCAGGTGGTGTGTGTGTGTCTATACACACACACGCGCACACACACACTTATGTATGTATTTGTGTGTGTATAATTGGGCCCCCGTAAAAAATGGGCCCGGGATATGTGGCCACCCTGCCCTGAGCTGCCCATGTATATGTCTATCATAGGTGGGTATAAGCTTTATAACCTGGCGATTTACACCACATTCAGGTCTAAGCTCTGTAGCAGCTGCAACAAATTCTTTTCCATACTTTCCAGCAAACGACATTTGAACCTGCAGCAATTCTGGAAGATCTGCACATCTTGGTGCAGCAAAACATATACTTGAAATTGCTTCTTTCAGATCCAGAGGGCATTCCCTAGCAAATGAGAAGTGGATGGTAAATCAGATCCAAAGACACACATATGCATTATAACATGTATATATAATATATATACTCTTTCTGTCCCGAAATGAATTTTACCCAGTCTAAAATAAAGATTATATGGAGTACTTTCTTTTCTATTGAGAAAGAGGAATATGTGGCTTACAATAGTTCTCTCTTCTAAACATATTTCAACCACACATTTTTTCTTTTCAATGGTGTTCTTAAACTCCGTGAAGTCAAAGCGTAAACTTAATACGGAGGGAGCATAGTTGTGTTGACAACCCAGATACAAAGACAACATATTATGACTTCAGTTTTTGAAAACTCAATAACTTGGCACTGCCTAAAGATGCAAGTCCAAGCAAGTGAAACCAGACTACTTATAGACTTCACGTTTGAGATTTAAAATGATGATAAAAAATATCCATTTTTTTCTCTGTATACCTTTGTGCCTCAATGATTGGGAGGCGAACCGCTATGAGCTCAGAAAACAGCTCAACTATCTCCTGGGCAGCCATCATTTTCTCTTCTCTAATAATATGTTCAACCTGAATTAACAGCGGGAATGCCATTAACAAATGGGTAGACGAAACACATGTAAATTCAGAACAACTGTATGGACATTGAGAAGGAAGCATACCCGAATCCTAGCAGTGGCTTCCTGACCAGTTTCCAGAAGCTTGGCAATTTCTTTCCTCATCTGCTTCAGTTGCATCTCTCTGCGGTTTCTCAACAGCTTTATCCGAGGAATTGTCAGTTTCAATAGAGTTTTACTGCAAAATGAAAGAAATTAAAAAAAATAACGATCATCCACAAGCTCAAGCTAGAATCGCACAATTGATCTAACTATTGAAGAAACATATGCAACATATCTCCACAGGAAGTAAAAATAGAGCATTAAAAGTTATTCAATGTATAGAAATTCCTCTAAGGAGAAACCCTAGCTACAGATACATGAGAGATGGAAAAGGGAAAGGGGATACCATTTGGAGGCCTTGAAGCCTCTGCTGAAAAACGAATCCATCTCGAATCTCGTCTCGATTCAGCTCGTTTTGGCAGGGAACTGTTGAAGACAACTAAAATCGATTCAAGCTCTCATTCTCATTTCACTGTGATTTGATGAAAGCTTGCGGAGATTCCAACAAGACGATACTGTGATCATCAGAGGACTGCGAAGTCTCCATTTTTGCTTACGGTGGAAGGGGTGAATACTTATTTTATTCATACGGATTAGTCCGTATTGTTTTTACTTGCCCCCAAATATGGGGTTGGTTGATCGGATAGGATGTAATTTTTAATTAATTTTGTTTGATACGAAGTACTCCGTATTTGACATCAATTAATTTGATCTAATATAATTATCTTCTTCGTCCCAAAACAAGTATCACAGCTCACTATTTATGAATCACAATTTTTTTTATTTTTTGTTTTCACTAATTATTTGATAAAACAATATATTTTTGTCACTTCTTGTATCATAAAATTTTTCATGTACTTTTTAAATATGTAAATTTTATTTTTTATTTATATACCAATATTTAAATAAAATTAATTCAAAAAACTCAAAATTCTGATCCATTTAACGTACTTTTGCAATCCTTTTTGGATGGAAGAATTATCATAATAAGAATAAGTATTGTAATACGGCTATTCCACAAGTAATAAAAATAAAATAAATGAAAAATTTTAATTGATTAATCGACAATGTTAAAATAACATCAAAATGAATTTATCCCTTCTTTGAATGGTAGGAAGTTCATACTTTAAAATTCATGAGAATGTTCGTCCAGATTCAAGCTCAAACGGGGAGAAAGTCATTTCTCATTGTAGAAGTTGTATTGTAAACACTAGCCTAACACTTTCCATTCCTTTGATGTATATGTAAGCACTAGCCTAATACAATTTCTATATTGCGTTTGATCTGGTTTTTTCAATATTCGTTTAATCCTTCTGGTTTGAGTTTAAAACCTTTTGGATTTTGAAAATATTTATGAGATGTTTTTTAAAATGTTTGTGAGTGCATACTAGCTTGTGAATATAGGTATATAAAATCATATTCCTACATTGGTTTCTACCTATATTCTACATTTCTACGTTAGTTTAATGTTTTGACTTCATTTTTGAGAACTGAATCGTAATGAATTCTTGTTGTACATGAAATACTTAAACAAACATTTAACTCTTATATTGTTTGTTAACATCAAAACACGAGACTCAGCAAATCAAGGCTAACAAGAATGAGGACCTCCAGCGAAAATCAGAAGCAACGTGGTAGTTAATATGAAGTTGTATATAAAAAATAACTTTAAAAATAACTTACTCTAGTACCATCGTTCTAAATTTGATTTTATTTAATCAAAATTTAGAATTATATTTTATTAGAAATTCACTATAACTTTAAGGTATAATTTAGGGCATTACAATGTGAATATGATCCGAACGATCACAATGTTAACGTCGAATCAGTTGATACAGAACACCAAGATCCCAAGAGGTTCGAGTTGCAAAATACATACACGCTCCACAACCTTCGTGTGGATTTAATTGAGCATTTGTGGAATTCCCCTCCACTTCGGAATGGTGATGGGTGATGCATTTTTATCTCTGCTCTTTAATTGCATCAATGTAATTATTGTTTTAATGTTTTTGAATAATTTTTTTAAATTTATTAATTTTATGTTAATATGATAAAAAAATAAGTGTGATAAGCATGATTCATACACATTACATGTTAATTTGGAGAGGTGTCCAAATTAATACCCCAAATGTTCCAAATGTTCTGAACTATGGGAGCAATAGGTATTAATTTGGAGACCTCCCAAAATAAATACTCCCTACTCCGTAGTTAAGAGATCATAGCAATGAGAGCGGGCCTTTGTCCAACAAACCCTACTTTCGTGTAAAGATGGCGGGAGGTAGACGCGACTACCCTGGGTGGAATCCGCCGCCGCGGCAGTCTTCGGCGCCGCTTTCCTTTGCTGCTCGCGGTGGCCCTCTTGTTCCAGAAGAGGGGAAAATCGTTGGGAGTACTCGTGCTGTGGGAAAAAGGAAACTCGTTAAGGGTCGCGCTGCGGCAAAAGGCAAAATCGTTAAAAGTCGCGCTGCCGGGAAAGGGAAAAGCGTTAAGAGTGGTCGTGTTAGATTCAGATGAGGACGAGAAGCCATATGAAAGAACCAAAATCAGACCGGAGGATAGATTCCGGTATTTCTATCCCGACGAGATCACTTGCTACGACCTGAGTGGCGAGGAATTGGAACCTGATTTTCACGAAAAGTATTTCCCTCTTGTTATCCAACGAAAAATATCCTTCAACGAATATCAACAACGCGTAATCTACAGCAAGACTTTTAAGGGATATTGCAGGCAAGCTAATTCGAGTCAGGTTCGTCTTGTCTTCAATATTGTGTTGGTCTGATTGGTAATAAAACTTTTTGGAGGAGTTTAGCATTTCACTACTCTCTTCTGATTGTGTGAATTCATTTATCTGTCCGTCAATATCTGAGGAATATCATAATTTATTTTTATGTGTTCGTATATGATTTTCTTGATTGTTTTTTGTGAAAATTGATGCCTATTGATCTTAATACAATTATGAATGATCGTTTCGTATATCTCAGAACAGGTGCTCTTCTCTTTCTTCCCTTTACTGTATTAGATTGAATTGATCTCTTACTTTGACTGATCTAATTGTGTGTGTGCCTTTCGGTGTAGGGGTTCGATGTTGAGCAATTAGTACCTCCAACTCAGTTTCCCCACATTGTCGGTCCTATATCAAAGAGAAAATCTCTTTCAATTAATCTCTTGATAAAGTTTCTGGCTTAGCGGAATTGGCTCTCAGCCGATACAATGGCCATTTTGTAAGATCTTTCTATTTATATCCATCTCTCTCTAGTTAAATATATGTGTGTGTAGACACACATATGTATGTCTATCAGTATTTCAGTATTTGTATGTGTATCAGTCATATAAAGTTGGAGTATTTGTTAATTTCACAAGGGCCCTGAACAAAAGAATCACTTCCGTCCCCATTTTCCAACACTGACTTTTTGTAACCAACCTCTTTATAGGATATGGTTTATATGGTGTATTTAGTTTGATAAAACAATGTTTTTGAAGTATTTTATAAAATAAATCTAAAAATTATTTTTTTATGAATATTTAATATTGATATTATTTAATTTGTGGTCAAAGTTTGGCAATTTTGATTGTAAAAAGTTAAAAATAGACAAAAAAACTCAAGAACCAAGGTAGTATTTAATGAGTTTCCAATTAAGGGCAAGTCTATAAAAGAGCCAATCTTTTTCGCTTTACTCATACTTGTTAACGGCGAGTGGCGAGGGACGGACGAGAAAACCTTTTTATGGCGAGAGGTCGGCGGTCAAATGGCGAATATATGTAAATGTATATGTATATGTATATGTATATGTATATGTATATGTATATGTATATGTATATGTATATGTATATGTATATGTATATGTATATGTATATGTATATGTATATGTATATGTATATGTATATGTATATGTATATGTATATGTATATGTATATGTATATGTATATGTATATGTATATGTATATGTATATGTATATG